TGATAATACATATGAACAATTTATAGATCAACCTCACACCACCACTTTTCAATCTCAAAATAATCATTTTTTTTAGCCCACGATGAGCCGACAACTTGGATCCCTCCATCGCTCAAGTTCCCATCCAGCCAACTTCCAAACTCAAATCCCAATTATCCCGTTTTGGCTTTCCCACCACCCGATTTTCCAATTATTAATATAGCATCAAGCACGAATTCTGATACTAACTCAGATATTTCAGTTTTTCATACTATCTCACAATTTAATATCACTAATGTAGAAACCCCCGACAAATTTGCTGACTCCGAACCATCTCCCTCTACCCATACCCAGACAAACTCCTCAGTTTTTTCAAAACCCCCGTTTCAACCATTCCCATCCGTTTCCACTCCTTCTTACGCTTCCTAAGTAACCCCGACCTATTCTCCATTTTATTCCGACAGATCACATAAAAAATCCCCAGATACCATCCAAATTTCCGCAGAACTCGACAATTTTATAACATTACAACAACAACTAATACATCCCCAAACTCTCACAATACATCAACTATCATCCACAATAACATCCTCAAATCCACCAACTCCTACACCCTCTTCAGCTTACACTCCATCATTAGCTCAATCATCCACATCCATCGAAACACCTACCAGTACTAACCGAGCTTACCGCACTTTTAAACAAATATTCCCAAATCACCCATTTACAACCAAACCCGGAACAGCCCGCGAATATATCAATCACACGGAACACACAAACACGAAAAATTTTCTCGAAATCACATTACCCTCATTTCAACAATATACATTAAATACACCTACCATTGCTAACGATACATGAAATTTTGTTGATGAGCACGTTTTAATGCCAACACTCCATTGGACAGCTTATTATCATTATACTAACCCCCTCTGCCTACCATTAGCTAATACTACTGAAAGTATCGAGAAAAATAAGAAACATGTTATATAGACTAACCACAACACTAACACCTCGACAATTTATTTACGTTGGATATAAAAAATTATTAAAAACATTCACCGCACCCCGAGCTAACGATTTTGCAATAGAATACTACGATCATAGTATCATCCGCCTTAATCAAGATCAATTTTTAGATGAAAACCGCTTCGCAAACCCGCAACTAACAAAAAAAATTTCATTAAAACATCATACGTATTTACACTCAATATTTTTGATAGAAAGCATGATCATATTATTTCCGAATCACTAGTTGATAATCAAGCATATGAAAGCTTCTATGATAAATTTCAGTTATTTTCCCTAACCTTTCACTTTCTTTCACCACAGGAACGCAATTTGCACTGTTCCCACGATCTTATGTTACGCACTAAGCAAACGCACACATATACATATTATCGTTTTATACAAAATCGTTTTGATTTGCACACTCCATCAAGACAACCTCACCATCGTTTTCAGTTTCTTAACTCAAAATACACGTCACCATTTTTTCTAAATTTTACATATTGTATTAAAGATACTAACCTACACGGCATCCTCCGCAACTATGACCCAGTTACCCAAATGTACATATTCTGTCCCATCACAAAGTCCTTCAGTGCCAAAGAAATAAGACCCTTCCTTATCCCGCATGAATTTATCACACCTATTGAAATACCCATATTAGAATTCATTCACAATACTAAATAAAACCATAAAATATATAACCTCATCCAAAACACACCTTACGAGTTCGCAGTAGGCACAGAAGAGCTAAACACCATCAAGGCACTTCAATTGCTTTGGCCACTGCTACAAACTAAAAACATCATACGCATACTAGCCAAGTTACTAACAACATCAGATATGGTTCACGACATCTTTCCCTACGGCTTTTTCCCAGAAGACTAAGAAAACTATAAATTAAAATACTTTAACTAATAAATTCAAATGTATACTAACCATTTTCTATCAATGTTTGATTTATTCTTTTAGTCTTCACACCACAATCATCTACAAAACAGAAAAAAGACAAACAAAAATACAAACTTGTTAAATTATATTCAAACTCCTTAATCTTTAGCACCAAATAATGTAGTAAAATTCATACCCGTTGTAGTAATTTCATTTATAAATTATTTCCCCACGAAGCAGTAAAATTAAATACGATGAAAATTTATAATTTTAAACTTCCCCAAAACGCAGTAAAAATCAAATTCAATGCAAAAAATTCATAAATGAGAAAACAGTACTAACTTTTCAATATTTTCATTCATTCGCACAAGAATTCTATCCAAACTCGCACAGCTCGCCCACGAAGAATTGTTTAAATAATGATTTTAAGTTTCAAGCTTTCACTATAAACAACTCTAACACACGATAACAAGTTTCAAACTTTCCTTTAACCCGGTTGGAAAGGAATTATATACTAAACCAAACAAACCAACGCAGCTTACAAAACACCACAAATTATAAAATAACAGCATGACTAAGAAAAAAAAACCAATGGTACCCGAACCGGATTAACCCAGCTTAAAACTGGATAATCTATTCTTTTGAAGACTATTATTAAGTCAAAGAAAGAAATCATAAAACACAAAAAAGTCGCACGACAAACCCAAACCAAAAACAATTCGATTTTTAAAAAAAGGAGACAACCAAAGTAACATAAGAAAGACCAGAAAAAACCAACATAAAACGTTATCACATAACAGGACCTCTCAAAAAAACAGCATGCAATCATACTCCCACTCCTGGCCTAACCCACCAGAGAAGGACGTCCTGAGCATGCTTATAGCCGGCCTAACCCACCGCGCTACACACACGCTTTGTGACCACACTTCAATTGTTAATAATAGGTACTCAAGGGTGAGTAACTCTTCAAAATAACTGAACTAAACCAAAACGCTTTTGTGAAAACGACTAACTAAGTTCATGATTAAAAAACCAAATTAACATAAATTTATAAAATGTAAATCATACTTTGCAGTATAGAGATCAAACACAACAACAAAGACGAACATCCAAAGACTAGACGATCCCATCACACTCGAACAAAAGAATGGCTAAACACAACCGACATGCCGTCCACAATCACGACTCAAAGGATTTAGAGTACGACTTGACTTCGCAGAAAAGGACTTCATTGAACTAGACCAATGACCACCTCGATGCTCAAGTTTACTTACAGATCCGAGTTACAAGGCATCCCTTCCACACACGATCTTCACGCCATTCCCAGACGAGGCTGCACACAAAACAGTTCTCTACTAATACAGAAAAACCTGACATAGCAAACCATTTTGAAATCGGATTGATTTCATTGGGGATCACAGTCGTTGTCGAATGACAAGATAACAACTTCATATCCACCATTCTAGCGTCCTGGAACGTTCTTCTTCAAGAGGAACCGGATAAGAAAATGATGTTCGCCAAATACCAACGTTCATCATCCATCCTTCAATTGCAGAAAAGAAAGATAGTTCTAAAAAAAACTCTGTAAACCCCGGATGGGTGGAACCTGATCTAAACTACATTTTATTATTGGATAAATTAGATATTTTACCACTGTAAAATATTTAATATTAACCAATCATAATCCATCCAACTAACAACTCACTTATTTGTAAGTGCTGAAGTTACTTGTAATTTCAGCACCAGAGAGATTTGAATTTAACTTAGAACTTAGTTGCCTCTCCAAGAGAACTTCAGCCGCCGCAATAAGCCAGTATACTCTAGATCTATTGAGCCTAGCAGAGACTAGTTAAACACCCTGAGACTAGTAGATATAAGAGTAAGATTAGGATCGGTATTAGACTAAGAAGTTGCACGAATCTATCCGGCCGAAAATAAGATAGCGTGACGAGCAGGCGGTGTACCCTATCCGAAATTACTCTATGAGTTAACCTCAAGGACCTAACTCAAATGACTTTTAAATAATTTAGAAGGTTGTCACCAAAAAAAATTTTTTAACTGGGCTATCCATTCTAAAAATTAGTTATATTGGTGCCACAAGCGCCCTTAGAAAAAATTTGAGGCTAGTTAAACATGAAGACCAAATATATTTGTCTTGGCTTTATTAGTTCGCATGTCAATTTTCGTAACATTCGGATTGTGTGAACAAAATTTCACATGTAAAACTTTGCAGGGGGGGGGGGAGGAAAAAGAGCCAAAAAGTTTTCATTCTGCTAACTTTTTCGTTTTAACGCTTGCGAATAGGAATTGTTATTAGATCGGATTTCTGACTGTTCTCCAGGTGATTAATTTGTCTAAAAAACTGACAATCATATCCTGTCTAAGTTTCTGAATCTGAAATTTATTTCTGCGTCTAAGTTTTTTCCGATTCTGTTTTTTTAGTCTGAAGTATAATCTGGAATTTAATCTGTTTTTACGTAGAAAAATAGATAGAGCACGTGATTTACTAATAAAAAGATACTACTAATAAAATCCGTGTAACTAATTTTTTTCAAAAATGAAAAGGTAACAATTTGGAGTTCGATTGAAATTACCGAGGGAACAGCTTGCCCGAGTCGAGATTTTTCACCTTATTTGAAGCAAGATTTGAGCGGTTTTTTTAGGCAATTACGCTCAAAATCTTGCTTCAAAATGAGCGGTTTGAGCGGTTTTTGAACGGTTTATCTAAAAAAACCGCTCAAAAACCGCGCAAGATTTGAACGGTTTTGAGCGGTTTATCTAAAAAAAACCGCTCAAAAACCGCGCAAGATTTGAACGGTTTTTCTAGATAGACCGCTCAAATCTTGCGCGGTTTTTGAGCGGTTTTTCTATAGATAAACCGTTCAAAAACCGCTCAAACCGCTCATTTTGAAGCAAGATTTTGAGCGTAATTGTCTAAAAAAACCGCTCAAACCGCTCAAATCTTGCTTCAAATTAGGTGAAAAATCTCGACTCGGGAACCAAAAATGGAAGGCCGAAAATAGTATCAAAACCGAAGTACTCAATGCAATAACTGAAATTATCCTAGTATCAGAAATCCTCAGATCAGAACAAATATAAATTGGCAGTTAGAATTCACTTACCCACAGACAAAAATTGAGTACGAAGAAAACTGTTTTGAGTAAGCTTTCACTGAAAGTCAGCACACTAGCCATTGCATTGAAAAAGTAGAAAGAAAGTTCACAAAGAGCTCCCTGTGACGAACGCAATGCATGCGTTATAGTTTTTATAGCAACAAAAGTCAAGCACTCGAAGCTCAAGTGTTTATAAATGTGATTATTTTTGTTTAAAAATATATATCCATTGATACACCAAAAACTCCCATCTGACATCATATTAAGAACACTTGACTCAAAAATGTTATATTAAAAAATCGCAGCGATTTCCGAAGAAAGTAACGGAATACCATTGGTCGAGCTTTTTCTTTCTCAAGAAAATTTTTTTTTTGACTTTTCAACTACAATTTTTTGATGAGTTTTTGTTCCAGCATTTGAAAGATATTAATGTCCAATCTCAAAATTGACAAATTGTTTTAGATGCAATTTTTTGAAAACATATCCGGGTTTAAGAACTGCCACCATGCTGAAAAAATTATTACAAGTCAAATCTAGGACCTCATATTGATGCAAAACGTATCAATTATAGCTGCAAAATTTGTATTTGAAATTTAGCATGTGTTATCAAAAAATCGTATAATTTTTTTGTTGAAAATGTTAGTATAGCTTACCAACTATAACCATTTCAAGCAACTGACGGCAAGTAATGGTAATCAGTTTTTCGCCTCAATACGTTCAACTGATAGGATTGTTGTCAAAAATCCATTTCACGGACATGAAATGAAGGCTGTTTCGAGGTCGCGATTTTATGTTCAGACCGAAGGAAGCCGGTTTCAGACCGTTTGGACCAAAGGAATCCAGTTTTAGACCGTGTGGACGGAAAACAAAATAGGCTCAACATTGGGGACCAAAAAATCCCTTCAGACCATGAACACATATATGATTGTTCAGACATGGCAGAGAGATGTTCAGATTTTGCCGACTTATGTTCAGACAAGGCTTAGATTTTGTAGAATTTGAATTCTGAACATAAAACCACGTCTTCGACACGGGAAATTATCAAAATTCAACTTGTTAGCTTGAATAACCTATTGTCAAATAAAGCAGCTAGGAATTGCCACAGAGCGCAGCTATAATAATAGCTCATATTCGCTCCTCTGCACTTCCCGCTCTGAAAAAACAAATGGATTTTATTAAGAAAAAGTCTGTAGATTAAATTGAGATCCATTTGGGTTTTTTAGAAAAATAAGTTGATCGAAAAGAAAAATTCAGATCGATTTGGATTGATTTTAAATCGATTTAAATCGATGTAAAACCTAGGGTAAAAATATCAATTTCAAGCGATTTTAAATTAATTAGAATTGATCTCAAAATTGACCTAAAATGCAAGCAATCCGAATTGATTATAAATCGAATTAAATTGAATTTTTTAACAATTTTTTTTTCAAACTTTCGATTGACAGAAAAAATTGAAAAATTTTGTTAGTTGTAGCTAAAAATTGCCCGAAGTGCTTGTAAAATTGACTGAATTGCTTGCAAACTACACCAAATGACTTAAATTGTGTTGAAAAATCTGAATAACATTGTTCTGTTTTGCCTCTGTACCTATAATTAAAAAATTTTGTGACTTTTCAGGTTTGAATTGTTGAAAACTTTAAATCTGTTTCCCGCTGATCTGAATTATAAAAGAGCTGAACAAGGGAGGGCATCAACAAAACAACAAGCATTTTTAAATAAAAAGTTGGTAAAATAATTTAGTATTACTGATATTAATTAACTTATTATTACCATTACTTAGCATTTTTAAAGACTTGTTTCACGTTAAATGTTAGAATCATTTTTCAGTTTTATTCTGTGCGTCACTTTTCGAAATGGTGATTGAGCAGAGCTCAAAAGGATGACATTGAAAGAGCTGCACTCATCAACTTCACCATAAACGCTACTAATAAAAGGTGAAATATTTTTCTATTGAAAAGTAGATACAATGATTCCCTAAAACTATGATATGCTTGCAAGTTAAAAGACTTTGAACGCTACATTTGTTAATGTTGAGAATGTTTTCTAAGAAATCAGCACCTTGTTTCGTCTTTTTTTTACCCTTGTTAGATATCACACTGGCACACTTTGAGTTATTTATGCAAGGACATGCGAGATTTTTTGATCAGTGTCAACGCTAAATAGCAAGCGTTGTCTAAAAGTTACAAACGTGTTCTTAAATTGTGATCAGTAGTACAAAGAACCAAAACCAGAATCAGTTAACTCACACAAAAAATGCACGGTGTGTTTTTATTTTTTGGCTGGAAAAGTTGAGAATGATCTATCTATTGATTAAAAATATTTTAATTCACAACTCATTGAGTTGAATTATTTTGCCACTTAGCGACAGGTATAGAACCGTGATGCAGTTCACGCTGATCTAGTTTGAGTTAAAACCTGCAAGGTCAATTTCTCGAAATACGCGACTTTTTGATTTTTGTATATTTTATTTAGCAAGTTGTCTGGACAGACTTTTTTCACTTGTGAGCACTAGAACAAATAGTGGAGAATTAGCACTAGGTTATTCTCACATTATAGTTGCTTGGAAGGTTATTTCTGACTCAATATTTTTTCTATTTTGATGCATAAATAAGGAAAGTTCTGACATCTTTGATTGGATAGTAGCATAATGCAACAAAAATCTAAATAAATTCAGGTTGAATTATATTAAAACTTAACGATAGATTAAGGCCCGTGATGACTTTCACGACTGTTTAATTTGAGTTAAAATCAGCAAGATTTTTTTTGAAGATGGTACCAGAATTTTTGATCAGTCTTGATAAGAACAAGCAAGAGTGGTTGTTGCAGCGCAAATGTAAATATAAAACAAGAGCACAAATGCATATACACTCAAATGTAAGCGAGAGTATAAGTGCATATAAAGTTGAACCAAAATGTAAATGCATATAGGGACAGTAGCCGAGCGTATACATGGTGCGTCCCGGCGGGTTCGGCGCCGGTTCGAATCCCGCATAGGTCATTTCCTTTCTAGAACTCGAATATGCACCGAACTTGATGGGATGCTCCGTAACCAGGTTCGACTCCCCCCCCCCCAAAAAAAACCTATTTTAACCGTCTTTTCGCTCTAATTTGGTTCAGCCTTGATTAAGGCTGACCTTTAAAAAGAGCAATTTGTCTCAAGGACAAATACTGGCCACTTTTGCAGCTTGCTTTGAGTTATGCAGCTTTTGCTGGCCGATGTTACCGATGTTACCATGTTAACAATAAAAAAGTTTATTATGAAATATCATTATTACCGAGTTATTTTGCCGATAAAATGCTCGAATTAAATTGTTTGAAATTCGATATTTTTACAATCCGTGGAGATTGAGGCGCACATTTTGGCGCCCCACAAGGGACACGAAGGAAGGGGTAACGAAGTATTTTCTCGCAAGTCTTTTCTCGCGAAATTGCACAAGGGACACGAAGGAAGGGGTACCGAAGTCTTTTCTCACAAGTCTTTTCTCGCGAAGTTGCACAAGGGACGAACCAGGGACCTTCAGTTGACCACTGACAGACTCGGAATTACGTACTAGGCTGTTAAATCGAGATTCAATCAGTCCCAGCGAGGAGCTGAAAAAAGCAGGAAAGTAGACTACAGAAGAAATATTGCCACATACTCTAATTACCATCTTTACAAATCCAGACTGCCAAAAAAATCTCAAAAACTGCCGAAAAATCTGGTATTATATCATCGAAGACAGCAAATTGTGGCCGTTCTAGCGTCCAAAACAACTGCGATTTCAGTTCTAATTCTAAAATATCACAGTCTGAATTTCCTCCTTCTTTCAAACTATCAGCGGACGCGACATATTTCATATTTATCAAGAACTGACAAAGGAAATTCAGAGAGGCCTACCGAGAAATTCAGGTGTCGATTGAGTTGTCAAGCGCAAGCCAGCTACAGACGTTTTGTGGAACTGATAGAAGCAATCATGGAACAATTTCTCTGCGTCTCGCCGATGGTTTGATAATCCGAAAACAGGTGACCACCCAATCTCCAAAAAATTGTCAAAAACTGTAAGACTCATCTAGTTTTTATAAACTTTTTTCTGCAATAAAATTACATACGGTGTCTTATTGTGTATCCCAACTCAAAGCAAGCTACGAGTGGTAATTTTTCCGATACCACAAATTTTTAAGTAATTGTGAACGGATTGAAAATCCAAAAAATCGGATCATAGACAAGGGGTACTAGACTAGTTTTTTGGATTGGTTTACGACTCGAACCTGCTGACCAAAGTTTTCCGAAAAATTTTGGGAAAAAAGTAAAAAAAAATTGCAAAAAATTCCTCAAAACGTCCCCATAATTCTGCGAAACTGTGCTGTAACATGACACCAACCTTATGGTAAGTGGTCTGGTAGCGAAATATCAGGCAAATTAAGTTGAGTTTTTTCATCCTCAGGTTTTTTCCGCGTGGGTTGTTGGAATTTAACCAATTTGCCTGATCCCCACCCACATTGGTGAAACTGAAAGCCAGTACGCTTCAAGTAAATCTAAGCCGTTTCAGCCCGTCCGATTATTGACTTCGTTGCGCGACACTAAATTTAAGTGGTCAGGTACGGTGATATTAAGTGAGTTAAGTTGAATTCTTTCATCCTCAGGTTTACTCCGTGTGCGTTGTTGGAGTTCAACCGACCTACTTAATTTCCCCACCCCATTGGTTCAAAAAAATCTAAGCCGTTTCAGCTCGTCCGATTATTGACTTCGTTGCGCGACACTAATGTTAAGTGGCCAGGTACGGTGATATTAAGTGAGTTAAGTTGAATTCTTTCATCCTCAGGTTTACTCCGTGTGCGTTGTTGGAGTTCAACCGACCTACTTAATTTCCCCACCCCATTGGTACTTAAGCGTAACGTAGCCGTCGCATAGGTCTCTTGAGTGTATGGTATTCATTCTAGGAGCTAGTTCCTTGGATCACGCGCTCCGTAAACTATCCGCACCGTCTCAAAAGCGCGTGAAAGAGACCTGTTTCACAAAACCCGGTTTAAGCTTTAACTTTAACGCCAGGGACTCGCAGAAAACTATCCAATACTATCTGCAACACTTTTTGTCGAATCGAAAAGATCTAGTTATTTGGCACGACGCCATAAATAACTCCATCAGTAAGCACCGCAGTAACAACAACCGTAGTTTGAGTACTGACCAACTTA